GAAAACTAGAAATAGAAAAAACTTATAGAAGAATACTCTTAGAAAGACCTGTAAAATAGACTTTTTAGAAAAAAAAAGAGTACAAAGTTACAAAACAGAAAGAGAAATATAAGAAAGCAGAACTTAAGTATTGAAAAAAATATAAGAAAAATTAGAAAATAAAATACAAAAGCAGATTATTACCAAGAAAAAAAAAAGAGAAGATTGGAGAAAAAAGTAAAAGTAATTATAAAAGAATACAAGAATTTTTTTTTTAACCAGCCTCTTTAGAGCTAAAGTTTTTATTCAAGTTATGGGTAAAGAAGCTTATAACAGAACCTTCTATTATATTAGAGAATTCAACTAGCCATATATACAACTTTTGGTTGTCTATTTAAGCAATCTGTATATAGATAACTATACATTATAGATTTTACACTAGCTGCTATACCTATAACTTGATTAGGAGATTACTTATTTAAATCTTCTGTAATGCAACCTACTTGTATTACTAGTACATCTTCATTACATTTGTTAGTCAAGAAGTTTTGGATGCTTTTCTATATCTTTAAAAATAATTTATTTTTAAGACATTATTGCTAGAGCTTTCTATACCACAATCCAGCTAATTTAAACTTTGATAACTTACACTGAGTTTGAAAACAAGTACCTTAATCCCATTTAGTTTTCAGTTCCTTAGTTAATAATCCTTTACATAGCACTGTCAAAATCTGTACTACCACTATATTCAGGACTTGCCAAGTGGGCTTCTGTGTATCTCAGCTCTTAGATTTATCTGGCTGCTTCACTTAGGTTTTATATAACTCATATAGTGATCCAAATCACTAGTTGAAAAATCAACTAGTTGAAAACTTTCTAACTAATCATTTTAAAAAAAATTAAAACAACTAATTGATTAATCATCAAACTGATACAGTTCTGATATATTTTGTCTAATTGGGCTGTTTTGTGTTGAAATCTTTAGTTTGATTAGCTAATCATCTAATGAGATTATATAATATGAATAATCAATTAGTTCAGTAGTTGCAACTACAGTTGGTAACTAATCAATTAGCAAATTTTTACACAAAAGTAGAATCACAACCCAACAAAATTTCAAATTATTTCGAAGAAAAATTTTATTTTGTTTGGTTAGGATTGGGGTTAGAAGATGTTATATATATCAAAATTTTGCAAAGAAAATTTTTTACTAATGCACAAAAAGCTCTTTTATAGACTAAATTTTGAGTTATATGTGATTTTTGACAAATTGAATGTTTGTTTTGAATTTTTTTGATTGTGCTACATTATACCAGATTTTGAAAGTTGATTGGCTATGAAATTTTTTAAGGTGGTGATTTTACTCCAGTTAAATTTTTACTAACTCAGAAAATCAACTAGTTGATAACTTTCCAACTAATTTATTTAAAAAAATTTAAAATAACTAATCAATTTTGTGTTAAAACCTTTGGATTAATTGGCTAATTACCTAATGAGATTATATGATATGAATAATTGATTAGTTGCAATTATAGTTAGCAACTAATCAATTGTCAAATTTTTACTAACTTGGAATACTAAACTCATATATTACACTAAATATTCCACAGCCTTCTAATACAAGCTGGTATGACCAAAGCTACAGATTCAATAATCCATCAAATTACAAACAGTTTGCTAAACACATTCTGTAAAATTTGAATTTTGTCATCAGTAGGATTCAAACTCTTGTTCTGTTACCTGAGGATGCAACAACTTACCAACTTCACTAAGTCACCACACCCTACAAGAAAATTTAATTAGCTGTAAAATAGATAAAATACTGTATATAGAATAAAAAATACACAATACAGTCGTCCTCCCCTACAATCACCTATATAATCACAAATTCTATACAATTATACAAGCACATCCGTTTGCCTATATTATATTAAAAATACCTCTATATAATCACAATCGCATTACAATCACTATCACATTTTTTAAAATATTTTTATACTAATTTATTAAGTAAATTACCTCTTTAAAATCACATTTGAATTCTACATATGATTAAATCATATGAGTACGATTTTATTGGCTATGAATATGTAACTATGATTGGTTAGTATAACGGTTGGGAGAGTGATGCACAATGAATACGCAATGTAGCTCCAACTGCTACTAGAAGTTGGGTGGATTGAATAACAAAAGGTTTCCATAGGGCATGTAATTCTATTAGAGCGACTTAATTATGTCCATGTTACTTTAGTATAAGAATGAGGTTCCGTTTATTAGAATAAATATGCATCACTTTTATACATTTAGATTAATATGAATGAGAACACGTTCTGAAGCCTACTTTATGACATCAGTATGCACAAGGGCTTTAACAATCACGATACTAATTTAGTTAGATAATCAATTACACCAAAAAGAATAAGATTATAAAATTAATTCATTAGACAAAAAGACAAATTCTTATAAATTTGCAAAAAAAAAATTTTTGTGCGCTTAGAAGTTCTTCCAACAACGCAGGTTTATACAATTAGTTTCTGCATTCAATTTTTATCTGGGCTCTAATCAAGTTTTACTGTGTTCAATTTCTGTAAGCTAGTTTTTATTTATGATTACAATTTAGTTTTACTGTGCATAAATTCTTTTAATCAGGGTTTTTTTTTATGTTTCAAGGCTATAAAAATCCCTGCGTTCAAATTTTGGTGCAGTCAAATTTTCGCAGCAGGTAAATATCTCTGTAGCCAAGGTCTTGTTGCAGTCAAGGTCAATATTCGCCCAAGGTCAGTTTCGCCGTGGTCAAGGTTTCACCCAAGGTTAGTTTCGCCATGGTCAAGGTTTCACCCAAGGTCAGTTTCGCTGTGGTCAAGGTTGCACCATGGTCAAGGTCAAGGTTTCGCCGTGGTTAAGGTTAAAGCTTTGCCGTAGTCAAGGTTAAAGTTTCGCCGAAGTCAGGATTAAAGTTTCGCCGTGTTTAGGGTCAAGGTTTCACCATAATTAGAGTCAAAGTTTTGCTGTGATTAAGTTCAAGGTTTCGCCGTGGTCAGGGTCAAGGCTTCGCCGTGGTCAAGGGTTTGTCTTGGATAAGGTTTAAATTCGCCGTAAAGAATTTTTTTTTACTTTAATATACATAATGTCAAACAAAAGAGCCAAAACAGCAATTAGTAATAGTTTAAAGCGTGAAATTTGCGAATATAGCAATAAGTTTCCACATGAAACACATTCAAATATTGCAAATTATTTTAATCAAAAAAATTCAAATTTAAACATTGATCGCTCAACAATTTCTAAAATTTTAAAAGAAAAAACAAAATGGTTGGCGATTGACAATAACCAAGCTAATATGACGATTTTTCGTCACAAAAAAGTTAAGTTTCTGTTATTAGATAAGGCTATACAACTTTGGGTTGAGCAGGTCATAGGTGGTCAAGGATTTTTGAAAGATTTAATTATTAAAGAAAAGGCTGTATTTTTTGCCCGGGCATTAGGTTTGCCAGATAGCGCATTAAAATTTTCTAATAGTTGGGTCTATAAATTCAAAAAAAGAAATAATCTACGAAACTACCAGTTACATGGAGAAGCTAATAGTGCACTGATAGAAATACTTCCAGAACAAAGAATAAAATTTTGTGAAATAATAAAAGAATATCCATTAGAAAACGTTTTTAATGCAGATGAGACAGGGTTATTCTTTCGGATGGCACCACATCAGACTCTCTCATTACAACCACAATCAGGATGGAAAAAGGTCTTTATTGTGTACAAGTTTTTTTTTTTGAATGTACCTTAATGAATAAGGTGCGCATATGGCACTTTATTAAGTGTATACTGCGTGTACAAGTTTAAACCAGCGATAATAAAATAAAAAATCATTTGTATACTGTTTTTAACAAAAACTAAAGATTTTAATTTGTTTTAATTATTGAATTAACCTTAGGATCATGCACGTATTACTGTAATGTTAACAGCAAACGCGACTGAAATTGAAAAACTAAAGCCAATAGTTATTGGATCATCTATTGAACCCCATGCTCTAGCCCGTTTAAACTATGATACTTTACCTATTACATACCGGTCAAATTTAAAAGCCTGGATGCGATCAGATATCTTTGGTGAATGGCTTACAGAACTTGATAAGAAGTTTCGCTTAGAAAACTGACATATTTTGCTATTAGTTGATGGTGCATCAAGCCATTATAATCCTAATGAACCAAATGAAAATAATGATCCTGTTGAAGATAATGATTCTAATAATTCTAATGAAGATATATCAAAATCAGACGAAGAATCAAACAGTGAAGAAGAGGAATTAGAAAGTAAGAATTCGAATAATGAAGAGAGTCATGCAAGCTCGTCTAAGAACTCTATTTGACGTGGCCATGGCCGCCCAAGGTTAAGTGCTAGTAACATCAATAAACAAAGTGATCGAAATTCTCGTAGTCGTGGTTGTGGCCATGCCCGTGGCCGTGGTTGTGATCGTGGTCGTGGGCAGGCTTCTTGTGGTAGCAAGGATCGTCAGGGCCGTGCTCGTCCTTATAGACTTCCAGAACCTTCTGAAACTCCTTTAACAAATATTAGGCTTGAATTTTTGCCACCTCACACTACCGCTCACTTGCAATCGATGGATGCGGGTATAATCAACAGCTTTAAAGCAAGGTACAAAAGAAAATACATACGATACATAATTAATCAATTTGAAAGAGGAGAGGATTTAAAAACGTAAGAACATATTCATGAGCCTAGCGTTGTTAGCCTAAAAAGTTTTGCTAAGCAATTTTACTGTTGAATTAAAGCCAAGTTTACTATTAGGTTAGGTTATTAATAACAAATTTTCAATACAAATTTTTTCTTTAATGCAGGAGGCGTATGTATGTACGTACGTACGTACAGTGCGTTAAAATTTGTGGTCTTGGATTGTTTTAATTTTTGCGTTACACAAAATCTTTAAAATTTGATTGATCAGTGAAATTTTCTAGGTAGTAACGCTAGTGCATTATTTAACATTCTTAGTTTATGTATCGTTCTGGCTGATTGTGCCTTTTTTCTAATTTTAGTTTGGTTTAAATACTGCTGTATAGCACTGCATATAATATCCTTAAAAATAGTACAATTCAATTGTTAGATAAGTGTAGTACTTAGACTATATGCAGTGCTAAACGGTAATCATTTTGTTTATTAGTTTTTTGCTACTTTTTCGTGTTACAATTTTTTTCTATAGAATGGTTTTAAAGAATTTTGTTAATTTAAATTTTCTTGAATCATACAGGCAAAAATTGAACATTAGAGAAGCGATAACTTACGTTGCAGAAGCATGAGATGAGGTTGAAACTTCAACAATTGTGAATTGTTAGGTAAAAACTGGAATCCTTCTGGCATTATCTGGTGACGAAATTGAAGGTGCCACTCTTGCCCTGCAAGACTTGGCAGATTTTGAAAAAGATGAAAACGATGAATTGATCATAGACCAAACAGCAAATTCATTAGACCTGACAATCGAGTGTGAAATAAATAACTTCAATAATCTAAATAATTCTCAAATACTTACAGAGGATGTTCTTGATGAAATACAAATTGTGCATATTGTATTAGATGAACAATGAGAATATGAAGAAGGTGATGCAAGTGACACAGATGATGAACCACCCGAAGTTCCTGTTGTGGAAGGACTAAATGGTTTAAAAAAATTTGTTGGCTTTTTTGAGCAACAAAAAAGCGATGATTTTAATATAGAAGATTTA